AGTTGAACCCAGGTACCTTTCTCTTTGGCTTCTTTCTTTTTCTGGTCATTTTCCTTCACACGTTTTAGGAAGCTATCTCTGCTCTTATAATGCTTAATATGCTCAATACGTACATTAATTCTCTTGGCAAGAATCTTGCCCTTAACTTGTTTGTTCACAACAGTGCCAACAGCATGCTGGGTAACATTGTAGACTCTTCCAGTTTTGCCATAGTAACAATTGTGGGGCATTCCTTTTTGAACAGTACCCATTCCCTTAATGTCTACAATATCACCTTTCTTATAGATTAACATATATGTTGCCAAAGGAATGACTCCATGTTTTCTAAAAGGCCTAGAGAACATGTATCGGGTGCCTCTCCTCTTTCTCTTAGTGTTCGTCATTTTGGTTAATTACTGGAAGATGGTGGTTCTGGCCAAAAGGCAACCTATATTTTTTAACCATTTAGTATATGCCAGATAATTTGAATCATTTCTTATTTTTGAAAATTTTAAAAAGCCTATTTTAACTGTTAAATAAAAACATTGATAAGTAACTATAAGTTAAGGATGGGGGGGGGGGCAGGGTTTATATGCAAAGTGCATACAGTGTTTTTTAGACAGGGTCTTAGGTCATGATCTTCCTGCTCAGCCTCCCCAGAGATGAAGCTAGGACCACAGGTTTATGCCACCACACCTGGCTCTCTCAGACAGGGTCTTATATTGCCCACACTGACTACAAACTTAAGATCCTCCTGCTTCAGCCTCCCAAGTAGTCATTGCAAGGTGGGCTGGAAATGGAATCTGAGCCTGCCATATAGTCACAACTTGCCAAGCAATGGTGTCCAGCTGTGCCTGTGCCAGAAACTGATTCTTAATAAAGCACTGTTAAGAAGTTACACCTTTGATTCCTATATACAGCATTTGTTTGCACTCATTTAAATTACAAAGACTATACACTATAGGCTATTAAACATGCAGAAACAAATCAGAAAGTTACTTATATCAGGCCACCTGCTTAATTTCCAACAATGAAAATAAACAACTAACAAACATGTTTTAGGTATTTAAAAGCAATTACTTGCTGCTGCAGTCCTTGATATTTTTCTAATTCTTTCTTTAATTCTTCTGAGTACCATTTCTCTTCCTAATGAAAAAGATTTTTAATTAGTAAACTGTAAAAGATTATCTGAAACACTGAAAATAAGCAAGTATAATCATTTTTGTTCCTACCTTAAGGGAAGCCTGTAGGTCTTGAACCTCTTGTCTGAGTAGTGTTAAATCATCTCTAAACATATATGGAGGGAAATTAAATAAATAGTTAATGTCCCTTAATTAACAACTTGATATCTTAATAAATCATGGCTAGAAACTATATATTAATATTCTTGACTTCTCAATTTTTAAAAATTTGTCAGAGAGTACATACATGCCAGAGAGTGACGAAGAGAGAAGAAAGCCACCCACAATGGGGCACAGTCATACCACAACCCCTTCTCCTCCATTCCTCCATCCTGCCAGGATCTGGGGCTCACACACGCATGCATGTAGCATGTTTCTCAAGCCACTAGGCTAGGACTCAAACAGCACAGCTAGCCTTGGGTGATTTGGCTCCTTTAGCCATTAGGCCATGAGGCCAGCCCTTTAGGTTTCTCAATTCTCTAAAAAAAAAAAAGGGGGGGGGGCAGAATATTTAAGGGACACAAAAATGAAAAATTATCTGTTAATAATAACATCTATGACAATATCTTTAACTGGACTAATATACAATCTATTCGTGCTGAGAAAATTCATTTTGTAAGCTGTAATGATATACAGTGATTAAAAGTATAAAATTTTTCTTTTAATTTTTAAAGATTTGATGTACAGTGGTGTATATATATATATATGTATATATATATATATACACACAATCATTAGAAAAAAATTTTATATATAAAGCTCATTGTTTATAAGTAGAAAAACACTTTCTCATGAAAATAATTATATTAACTGGCTGTCAAGTACCTGAGCCTGAAACAAAATGTTTTCTCTTAATTTAGCAGCAATAAGCCATTAATGCAGCTAGCACAAAATCTAAACTCATTAACAAGGACCATAAAATCCGCACAGTCTGGGGACCAGCAGTTGGCATAATGGCTATGTCGCTGGACTTCCATGTAGCGGACCATAATTCAAGTTCCGGACTCAGCGGTTTAAAGTGCCTGTCCAAGATCCCAAGAGGAGAATGGAGGAAAACGGATAGCGGCATGGCCATCCCCCCCTGAGGGGATGATTTCTCGCTTTCTGTCTCTCTGTCTCTGTCTTTCTGGCAAATGCACCTGGTCTATAGCAAAAACCTCTAAAAAAAAAAAAACAAAAACAAAAAACTTGCACAGTCTGTCCCTGCCGTATTACTGTTTCCTTTATTCATTAGCTCTAGCAACACTGCTCTTTCCTGTCTGAGAACCTTCTCATATTCTCTTCCCTTAAGAATCAGTCTCACAAAGAATTGTGAGTAGACTACTGTAGGCCCTAATGCAAAAGAAAGACATGAGGAAACACAGTTAGGATTATTATTCCTGATGTCAGGAATATGTATGTCCATGTTGTATTGTAAATAGTTGAAAAATAGATCCTCTCAGCTCCATGACACTACCAATGGCAGCCATAAAAGAAGACACAAGAACTGAATCGGGAACAAGGGTTGATTAGAAACACTCAAAAGAAGTGATTCTAGTCTAAAGAGAAGAGAAGAACAGGAACAGTTTTAATGCAGACCAAGTTCACTCCAACACAAGTAAAGTATATCAGCAAGGTAAAAAACAAAGGGACAGATTGGTGGGACAAATATACCATAGGGTATTGGGAGAAGTTGGCATAAAAAAATATTTTTATAAGTAGAATGAAAGCATGCTTTATTCCTTGGGAGAGTAGGGGGCAGAGACAGCAGCTTTTGCCAATAGCAAAAGGAATGTAAAATTCTATTGTTGAATAGTATTATAACTAGTCATATTTTAGTATAATTTTAGTCCTCAAAATGGGCAGGCTAAATTGCCAAGAAACACAATATGTACTTGTTCTTATTATTACATAGGTGTTTATAAATAAAGCTTTTAAAATTTAAGTTAAAAATAAATCTTAGGGTCAGCAGGGTGGCATACTGGTTAAGGTGAGGGACTCCCACATCGCTGACTGCAGTTCGAGTCCTAAACGTGGTGGCTTGAAAATCACACTGGGCGCCTAAGTGTGCATGTCCCAAATCCCAGGAGGAGAATGGAGAAGAAGGGATGGTAGCATCCCCTCTGGGGGATAATTTATCACTTTCCTTCTCACTGCCTCTGTCTCTCTCTGGTGAGTGCCCATGCTCTATGGAAAAAAAACTTTAAAAACAATAAATAAATAAATTTTAATTCTTCAGGAAATTTATTTGAACAATTTAAAATTATCTAAACAAAGTACAGACATATGCTAAATGCAATTTAATCTTCTTCTCCTAATTTATAGTTTTCATTAAAGACATAACCTCTGAACCACATTGTAAATGATGCACAGATAGTTGCTGGTCAAAGACTGAATGGATTATAATGATAAGGGAAAATGTTTTGCTAAATAAGGACAGATTTCATTTAAATAGTATAAAAATTACTACTTCCATTAACTAATCATAATTAAACAATGATATTCATGTACATTCCATAAAAAGCTGCACCTCAGAATGACCATACTGTACCTCTTCAAAGCAAGACTAGCTTCTCCACCATGACTTGAATCATTACCAGCATCATGAACTGCCTCGTAGTGTTTGAAAAGCTCATCAGCAGATCCCAGAGATTTCATACACTGGGGACATATGAAACCCTATGAAAACAGGCAGAAAAAGGTTTCAAACTAGTATTGTACACTGCAAGTAATGATTTATATATTACAAAATGCAGCAAATGTGTTATTCATATCAATGGTACACGAAGTATATTGTAATTCAAGGTGCTAAGTTCAGATTTTGGTATCACACAAAGGTCCTTCACTGTGTTCTGGCTGTAGTTTACAAAATACAAAGAAAATCCTTCCAAGCATCTTTCAGGTTTATAAATTAATGGTTAGAATACAGAACTCTAATCTCAGACATTAGTTCTAATGTAGAACATTAGTTGAGAAGATATGCCATCATACCTTCCTTTCTCTAGATACCCCATTAGTAATATTTGTTCCAGTGTACTTCATATAAATCCTAAGAAAAAAATTAAAAGATGAAGCACTCTGATCACTGAGGGAAAAAGTAATATAGTAAATCGTAGTTACTACAAAGTTCACATATTTGCAGTAGCCGAGAAATATTATAGTCAGTAAATTTCTTTACTAACCTAAAGTTAACATTTTACACTGTCTAAAACTAATGTTTAGTCCTATAAAATATATTGTAAAAAAACACTATCCCAAAATTATTATATAGTTTAAGACTATGAACCAAAGTACTATGTTAAAGATGCTGATAAAGATCCATGCTTTACAGATCTAGGGCTGTAATGAACCATGAAATCAACTTGTTGGGTTGCAAACTTTTTCTTGGTAATACAGTACAACAGAATATATTAGATTTCATTATATGTAGCAAGGATAAATAATTTTTTGTTCTGGGTGATGACAAAAAAGTATATTTCTAATAGCTGTTGCCACCCAAAAACATCTGAGAAACCTTGGCAGAGATAATTGTTAGTGATAGATATAATAAATTAGTAATAATTACTTTTTATTGAGTCCACACTATGTGCTAGACATTTCCCCTACACAAAGTATTATCTCCATTTTATAAGAGAGGAATTTAAATCTCAGAAAAGTTAAATGACATTCCTAAGGTCATAAACTAGAATACACACAGGTAGCTAGGTAAATCCCATGTTCTTTCCTGAACGCTTCACTATCGCTTGAACTCATTGACTTACTCTTACAAATTACTTTCTTAAAACAAACCTTTTTACTCTGTTAACTTTTTAATGACTTTACTTAATAAATAGGTATCAATTATAATCTCAAGTGTTGTACTAGTTCTGTGGGAGATACGAATGGCAAAATGTAGTCTCAGCCTTCAAAGAACTGAGAAAGCAAAGTATATACTTATATTATAAAAAACAAACAAAAAACCTTGTTCTATGAAACTGAATTAATGACTAACCAGATAGATTAAAGTTTATATTGTTTAAGGACCTGACTACAAAATGAATTAACAAATCAAAGGGTAAAATAGCTTTGTCTCTGATATTCTACTGGTCCTATAAAAAATTATTTACTTGACTTCTGTATACTTCAACTATCAGTAGTATTAAAAAAATGACATATTATTTCAGCAAAATTAGCCCAATATACAACAGAAACCTCTCTCAAATTATGTTGTAAATTATTTGCATTCAAAGTTTTCTTGAGACCAGCAGTTAGCGTAATGGCCATGTTGCTGGACTCCCATGAAGTCGACCGCAGTTCGCGTCCCAGACCCGGTGGTTTAAAACTCATGCTGGGCACGTGTGTGTGTGTGTGTGTGTGTCCAAGATCCAGAAAGGAGAATGGTGGAGAAGGGATTGTGGCATGGCCATTCCCCCCTGGGGGGTGATATCTCGCTTTCTGTCTCTCTGTTCCTCTCTGTGTGTCTGGTGAGCACACACACCCTATGGCAAAAATCTCTCCAAAAAAAAAAATTTTTTTTTTATAGATAATAAAGTAGTTCCCCACAACTTACACATACACACACACCAAGGATTTTGAGTAGGTCTTACTCTAAATTTTACTTCTAAAAAATATCACCAGCAGGACTAGCAGGGAGTGTGGTGGTTAAGGGCGCTAGACTCCCATATAGCAGACTGCGAGTCCCGGACCTGGTGGCTTGCTTTCTCATTTTCTCTCTCTCTCTGTATCTCTGTCTCTCTCTCTCCCTCCTTCTCTGGTTTAAAAAAAAAAGTTTTAGAAGAAAAATATCACCAGATATCAAAATACTATCAAGCCAGCATTCCCCAATCCATAAATCCATAAGAATAGCCTCATGTAATCTATTCTGAAGGAGCATTTCAGACTAAATCAAAGATAAAATAGTGATTAGCAAAAATGTGATAGTTATCACAGTTACAATTCTGCTAATCCAAGGCAGAAAAATAAAAGTTTTGGTTTCAAGTAAACCACAATTCTAAAATTTCCCCAGTGACAGACACAAACGCAACATGGACTGTGTGTGAGGTGGGGATTCAGCACATTTCCACACCTTAAACAACAAGTAAGTACATTATGCCTTTGAAAATTCTGTGGAAAGTAAGTTTTGTTTTACCTAACACACAGCTTTTATATTTAGGAATGGTCATCCTCTCCATAGATCTAGTTAAGAACTCCCTCCAGAATTCTTCTGATCTATATATCCAACAATACACATCTCTACCTGCATCCCATAGACATGTCAAATATAACAAATTCAAGATTAATTTCATTTCCCAAATCTCGTTTTCTCACCAACATCCAACTTTTACCTGAAACAGAAAACTGAAAATGATGCTAAATTACTCTTCCCATTTCTTTTCTTTTTAATTTTTTGCTATAGGGTGCATGGGGTCAGGGTGGTAAGGGGCAGTGAGAAAGTACCCCTGGGGAGATAGCCACACAACATCCCTTCTTGTCTACTCTCCTCTCAGGAGTTTGAGTTTGCACACACACACACACACACACATGCCTGGTGTTTTTCAAGCCAACAGGTCTGGGACTTGAAATATGCAGTCAGCCATGTAGAATCCAGCTGCCTTAACCACCACATCATTACTACCTGGCCCTCTTCTGTCCCATTTCTAATAAGACACTAAAACATCTCTCCTTTCTATCTTCTCATCCCTTTCCTCACTGCAGTTGCCCTCATTCATTCAGTATCTCTTACCCGGACTACTACAATGATATTCCAAACAGTACTCCTACATCTAGTCTCTCCCCTCCCTAATTAATCTTCCACACAGCTGCCAAAGGAATCTTTCTAAAATAACTTCTATAATATTTCCCATTTTTAAAGAATTATTTAACTTTATTATTATTATTTTCCAGTTTGATCAGAGACAGACAGAGAAAGAAAGAAAGGAAAAGTGAGAAAGCAAGCAACCAGCTCTAGGACTTAAACCGCAGTCAGCCATGTGGGAATCCAGTGCTTTTAGTCACCAGGCCACTTGCGGGCCCCATTCCCCATTAACTTTTATCATCAACACAACACACAGGCCCAGCCTCAGTAGCACACATTGGTTGATGCTGCTACTTCTATTCAGCAGGTGGAGGCCATATAGGAGGCCCAAGTTAAATTCCCAGTCCACCCTAAAAGCTGATCCCAGTGGTGCAGTACTTGTAGTCCCAGCTACTTGGGAAGCTTAGGGAGAAAAACCTGGACCTAGAGAGATCCTGCCTAAAACAAACAAAAAAAAGCACACAAGGTCCTGCATACCATTTCCATAATTGTTCATGCAGTCGGATCTCCCAATCAGCATGCTTCAATATATCAAAGTACATATGCTCCACTCAGCACACCATGCTGTTTCCCAAATCTGACCCTATTCATGTGTTGATTTTGTCCTCCAGCAGCACCCTCATTCCCTTGTCAAGTTCCCACATTCACCAAAACACACAATACGTTGTGAATCTTTTTATCTGTATTTCTCAAATGCATGTAATACTTTGAACATAGTACATATTTTCTACACTGTAAATTTATTTATTAAAATATGGATGAAACTGGCAGTTCAGAACTTAATAGAAAAACTAAAGATTTCATAGCTTACAGATTATAAAACCTTCCAAGGGACAAAATGAACTAAGTAATAAATACTCTGAGCATGTAAACCTAAATAAATAAATAAATGAAACCTCTGCCCCTTTATTAGGTAATGTGAAAAATGCATATTCTGGGAACTAGCAGTTAGCGTAATGGCTATGTCATGGACTCCCACATAGTCGACCGCGGTTCACGTCCCAGACCCGGTGGCTTAAAACCCACGCCGGACACATGTGCATGCATGCCCAAGATCCTGAGAGGAGAATGGAGGAGAAGGGACTGCGGAGTGGCCATCCCCTGTGGGGGGTGTTTTCTCACTTTCTGTCTCTCTGTCTCTCTCTGTTTGGCAAGCGCACGTGCCCTATAGTGAAAAAAAAAAAAAAAACTCTCAAAAAATGCATATTCTCATTTATCATTTATATATATTATATGGCAGAATAAAGGTCTACTGATTATTGGGGACACCAATATGTAGACCAGTATTATCACACAATGCTATAATACAAGTATATTTAAAGAACAACAGAAAGACAAGAGGAGAGGTAACCTGACTGTTGCAGCAATTAATGCTTTATAAAATATACGTACATTCATACATATATATCATAAACGTGTCTCATATCTGTCTTCACTGCAGCTGCATATTATGTATATATGGAAGTATAAATATGTACATATATTCAAATAAATGCATGTGAGATATTGGAATTGGGTACTAAAGAGATACTGGAGATACTATGAGATATTAGAATTAGATACTAAAAAATAAGTAGGAACTAACCTCAAGAGAGAAAAGAAACATTCTAGGTAAATGGAGGAGCATGAACAAAAGTACAGAAGTGATATGAAACAGAGCTCTGCTGCATTTGGAGAACAGAGGGCTTCGAGGTGAAGTCTCCAAGAGCCAGAGTGAAGGGTAGACTACAACAGATGAATGAATGCAATGACCCCTTATGAAACTCCTGACATGAGCAAAGACAGTAGTATCCAAGATGTGCCTTTGGACATCAGAACAATGCTGTCAGTCTCCAGAGAAATTTGGTACTCAGCATTGTCTTTTGAATGAATGAATGCTCCCAGTCTGTATATTAATGTCACTAGTACTATTCTTCATTCAAAACCATCTGTTATCTATCATCATGTTTCATAATGGCTATACATTATTACTTAATCTGGCATTCTTATAACTTCTGCCCAGTAAGTATGTACAAATGAGGTGACATATCTTTGGTGCAACCGCACATAAATCCCTATAAAATTTAGTCTGTCATTTATCTTTTGTGTCTTGTTTTCTGCTAGTAACTAGAAACCAAATTATAGCATGTTCCTCAGAGAATCTACATCTATTACATTATATAATCTTCACAATTTTCGTTTTTTCACTACTGTCTCTACTTCCAGGTTTTAGCTCTAGATAAGTAAGAGTACCACAACGTTGATGATCATACTGAGTTATGCCACACATTCTTAAAGCATCTAAATATTACCAGGTTAATACCCCAGAAAGAACTGATTCATTCCAATAGAGAAATTTTAAAGATCAATAATATATAATAATATTCCACATATATGAATTTTCCATGTGATTAGAGCTTGCATGTTTAAATAAAACTTAAATTTTGGTACATTTTTGATAAAAATATTTTTTTCTAAAATACATGTATTTCCTTGTCTTCTTAATAGATATTAAACTTTTTCTTAATGTCTCAGAGGTATACATATTAATCACTGAATGGGCATCTTCCATTCTGGCCTCTTTAATTACTGTTTTGTATTTCAACAGGCATTTCTAAAAATTCTTAGCATGCTATCTAGGAATGCTAGCCTGTCAGGTATGGTAAGGGTAGATTAAGAAGAAAGTTTACTGAAAGTAACTATCATTCATTTAAAAGTAAAATAAACTAAGAATGAATGCCTGAGGGATGTCCCATGAACAGTGTACATGATCTTTAGTTTTTGGACTTTGTGATGCCAATCCTGGATATAAGAAATTCTATTTTTCTAAACTATCTCCAAGGGGACTAAGGGTGCTAGATAATTAAATTCCAGAGAAGGACAATTAGCTAACAATAAAATATTAAAATAGCTAGCTATATTTATTTTCCTTAATTATTCCAAATTTGTCACCAAATTCCAAAAAGAATAGCTTAGTTAAGATTAAAAACAATAAATTCCTTACTATTAAGATTTCAGATATCTATAATCCCTTCTCAGATCCGATGTACCTAAGAACTTCATTTAACTTGATATTTATGATAATCTATTGCACTAAGTGTCCTTTTTGTTAAAAGAAAGGTTTTGGAACCAGCAGTTGGCATAATGGCTATGTCGCTGGATACCCATGTAGTCAACCGCAGTTCAAATCCTGGACTCGGTGACATAAACTCACACCAGGCGCGAGTGCATGTGTGCCCAAGATCCTGAGAGGAGAATGGAGAGGAAGGGATTGCAGCATGGCCATCCCCCCTGGGGGGGTGACTTCTTGCTTTCTGACTCTCTCTGTCTTCCTAGTGAGTGCACGTGCCTTATAGCAAAAAGAAAGGTTTTTAAGTGATAGGTGGATAATTGTTACTTTTGTCTCTGGCTAACCAATAAAATAAAGTTGGCCTACATGTTCTAAAAGAAAGCAAATTCTAGGTAGATTTCCAAGAATATTTTACGCCTCCATCTTTGCTTGCACGGTCCTAGCTGGTTCACTTTGGTATCATCCTATATGTACCCATTTTCCCCATCACTAGAGAATGTCTTGTTTAACTGTTCGTCTGTGGAGTTTTTCCTGAGTTCTCATAATCAGTTAGTTATTGCACACTCTTTTATAATTATCTATCATAGAAACTTCCTGGGCACCATAACATCATGGCCACAAGGGCATAGAAAGTTGGATCCCACGTGGCCAACCATGGTTCAAATCCTGGCCCAGATCACATTAAAAACATGCCAGAAAGTGTGTGTATACACTCAGAATGATTGTAATATGACCACACTCCCCTAGAGCTTTCTCTGCAAGTTTCTCTCTCTCTCTCTCTCTCTCTCTCTCTCACTCTCTCTCTCTCTCTCTCTCTCATACTTTTTTGACAACTAAAACAGAAAAAGAAACTTCCTGGGGTTAAAATCATAGCGTATTTCTCTTTTAAACTCCTTCACCTATGGAAACACCAGCTACATAAGATGTACTCCATTAATATGTTAAATTAGTGAATGTCTGTGAAATTGTTTTCTTATATACCTAGTTGTTTCATAGGAAGAAAGTAAGTTTGGAACCAACTCCATAGACTAATGGTTAAGGGAGCAGGATCCCACGTAGACAACCATGGTTCAAAGCCAGGCCTTGCAGCTTGAAAAATTGCTAGATGCATGTGTGCATATGCTCCAAATCCTGACAGGATGGAGGAATAGGTGAGAATGTATTGCATATGACCATGCTCCACTTGAGGGAACTCTCTTCCTCTCTCTCTGTCTCTTTCTGACAAGCATGCATGTACTCAGGTAAAGAAAGGAAGGAAGGAAGAACAGATGGATGAACGTATCTTTTTGGTCCTTCAAGGTACAAAAATTTTTATTCTTTTATAAGTTTTGGAAAAGAATTATGAGGCCAGACAATGGCACAGTAATAATACAACTAGACCCACATGGGAGAGTCCCCAGTTCATGTACCAGAGCCTATACACTCCACTCATGCATGTGTGTGGGCTATGATCGACTCTGGCAAAGACTGGGGTGAGCTGTGGCAGGAAGACCCCATTGGGAGGTGTCTGTTTCTCTTAGAAGAAATAAGCAAACTTTTTAAAAGTAATATTTGTAAAAGAATCAACACTTTTGTTTCTCTTTAAGAATACCATACATAAGTAATTTTCAAAGGAAACCTATATCTCAGAATCATCTGACAAATTCTTTCCAGCCTAAAATCAGGCAATATTTCCCCTCATTAGTTTCCACCATCAGCCTTAGATATGCAACAGCCCTACAACTCCTAAGAAATTTGGGGATGATCCACTGCTACAGATGAGTGTGTAATTCTGTCCCCCTCTACCCCCAGACTGGGGAGTTAAAGACTGAGACAGTATAGATTCAGGTGCTAATGCTGATTATTTTTCCAGGATAGTAACAATTCATATCCAAAGTCCTTTTTTTTATTTAAAGGCAAAGCATTTTAACCTAAAGAATTTTAATACATTCATTAATAAAACAACAATATACTAAAGATACAATTTACAAATGTTGAAATAATATAATTTGCTTTATAATTTGAATTTCATGGTGAAATGTATGCAAGAAAATTAACAATCATTTATATTTATTTATAAAATCACAAAAAAGGCAACTGCAAACAGTGAGAGAAACCAAGCAGCCTTCCCAAGAGCCTATTTTCCTTATTCCTTATGAACCTTCCTTTAAGCATGCATAATTAAAGCAATCCATATTCCCTTGTAGCACGAAAAGTTAAGCAACACCAAGGCAAGGAAAAACAAAGCTATTTTAAGCAACCCATAACCAAGCTGCTAAAACAAAATATATAGGACCCACAATAACACTGGAGTCATTAAGAAGTTCCTGTCCTCTTGTTTCATTTTCAGCGTGCACTTTCTGGTAATGCTCCGACAAATCAATAGCAGTTATATATCTTTTCATGCATAATGGGCAGATGAAACCCTGTGAAATAACAACTCTTAAAAGTACATACATAAAACATTTTTTATAAAATGAAATGCACCTGTAACAATGCAAATAGATAAAATAGGAAAATAATTAATATACATTGTTAATATACGTAAAGGAAATTTTCAAGTAGTAACTGCACAAAAGGTAAACATTCTATCCAAAATAGAACTTCTAAAGTTAGTGTCCATGCCTATGTTTATGCTATACAATTTCTGGAATACTTTTTATAACACTGCTTTAAAAAATTCTTTTTGTTGGGGCCAGCAGGTGGCATGGTAGTTAAGGCCAACCATGATTCGAGTTCCGAACCCAGTGGCTTGAACCAGTGGTGAATCCCAAACCTGCCAGGCATATGTGCGTGCATGCCCAAAAATCCCAGGGGAAGAATGGAAGAAAAGGGATTGCAGCATGGCCATCACCTCCTCTGGGGGGAAGGGGTGATTTCTCACTTTCTCTCTCTCTTTGCCTCTCTTTCTTTCTAGAGAGAGTGCACACGTCCTATGGCAAAAATCTAAAGAAAAAAATATTTTTCTTTTTAACACTTTCTCCTCACTTATCTAAGACTTATTATTGGCAAATTGGCTTTTATTTTAGATCAAGAAATTACTAACCAGTATAAAAAATACCTTTATGTGATAGTGTTCTCAACAAAGAAGTTCCCTTAATGAAAGCATGTTTACTCTTTACCTTATTCCTCTAACTTGATGTCCCACTCCTGTCTCCACCCATAATTCACAGTAGATGAGTCTTCCTTTTAATTTTATAAACCAAATAAAACCATTTTAAAACAATCTCTATGTTTTAAAAAGTGGGCTGTTACACTGATCCATGGCTTGAGGTTTTTGTTAGATAAGAATAGTAGAAAGATAAGAAATAAGGGAATTAAGAGTACCCAGGAGAAACTAAACAGATAGAAGACAGGACCAGATGTTCAATGGCTATAGTAGTATGACTTTTGGTATCAAAAATAGATATGGATTTCAGTCTCACTGAACCAGTGCTGGTAATACAACTTTAAAGAATTCATTTCACTTAGCTATGTGTCAGTTTCCCGATTTATAAAATGGGGCCCTGTTCTTCAAGAGTTACTGCATATATAAAACACTTAGTACAGTGCCTGAGATATTATAAGTGCTCAACAAACATTAACTGTCATTAGATCTCATATGTTGAGAGATGAAAAGCCAATGAAGTCAAGAAAGCACTGAGAGACCAGAAGAAAAGATAGCAATGAAAAGCCTGTGTTTCTCAGCAAGGTTAAAGAATTTAAGTAGTAAAAATATGAGAAAGAAAGTTTTGAAAGGCTAGATAATTATGGTAAAAACTAGAGAGATGTGATTTTAGCATTTCAGATGAAACTATTCCTGCCTGATGATAAAGAAGATGGTACTGCCAGAAGAAGTTGAGTAGATAGAAAAGTAATAAAGATCATTGGCACTGATGACATAAAGGAACAAGGAGGCTTGATGTTCTTTGAGTTATTAATGTCACCTAAGATAACAGCAAGGAAAGAGAGGAAGACTGCAAGTAAGTTTTAAAAGTGAGAGGCCAGGGACCAGCAGTTAGTGTAATGGCTATGTCACTGGACTCCCACATAGTCAACCGCAGTTTGAGTCCCGGACCCGGTGGCTTAAACTCATGCCGGGCTCATGTGTGTGTGTGCCCAAGATCCTGAGAGGAGAATGGAGGAGAAGGGATTGTAGCGTGGCCAGACAACCACAGTACCAAGAACTAGAACTACATAATAGTACTTCTTTAAGAGATACTTTTTTTTTTCACCACAACTTCATGCTGCCTTTCACTTTACTCTTGTTTGTTCACTGTAACTTTCCACATGCCATCATTCAATCATTCGGAGTGATTACCATGTTCCAGCCACTATGCTATGGGGCTGAGAACACAATGGAAAATAAAAATATCAACATCTTCAACAAGTTTCACTTCTTGAAAAAGTTGTATTTCGCAAATTATATTTTATACCCTACTAATCAGAAAATCCTGTTAGTTCTATGTTCAAAATGTATCCTGAATTGCAATACCTCTATCTCAACACCATCCTGATCCAAGCCACTATCACATTGCACATGGATCACTGCAACACTTTCCAAACAGTCTCTCACTTCCACCCATACCCAGCTCAACACAGCAGCCAGAGTGCATCCTATAAAAATGTAAATCAAATTTCATCATATCTCTAATGGCTTTCTATGTCACTAAGATTTAACAACTAAAGTCTGTGTAATACTCTATAAGACCTACAAGAGGTACACCTGCTTACCTCACTGACCCAGTCTCCCTTTGATCACTGTACTACACTGGCCTCCTGACTGATTTTTCAGCCTACTCCTACCTCAGACTCTTCACTTGTTCCAAAGGCCTGGAAGAATATGTGCCCCAGCAATCCACATATTCATTTCCTTACTCCCTTCAGTTGTTTCTGAGCCATCCTTTTCTCATAAAATTCTTCCCTGTTAATTATTTAAAATTGCAGCTTTACAAAATACTTTTATTATCCTCCTTCCCGGTTTGTTTTTCTCAATAACACCAATTGTCTACCTCAGTACATTTTTAATATGTTTCGTTTTTTGCATGTTTCCACCCATTTGATTATAAGGTCAATCAGGTTAAGACGTTTTTACTATTTTATTCATTGCTCTATTTCCCACATCCAGAAGATAATTCATTAATGAATCTCAGAATAATAATTATTGCCAAAGGATATGAAATACATTTTCACACAAGCATATGAAAAAAGCAACTATCCCGTAAGTGAGTCTAGGAAAGTTTACTGGAAAAAGTAAACTGCAATTTGACTGGAAGGGTATGAGGCATTAGACAGACAAAAAAGTAAAAACAAGAGCAGTGTTATGGCCTGAATATTTGTAGGTCCCCCAAAATTCATGTTAAAATCCTATCCCAAAGGTTATGATATTAAAAAGTGGGTCAAGATCAAGATAGCAGATAGAATTATGTTAGAACAAGAAAAGGTAAGGGGCAAGAAGTCATTTAAACATATATCAAATTTGGAGAGGCTTTTTTTTTTTTTTTTTTTTTTTTGCTATAGG